AGAACCGTCCCATCCCGTCCTGTGGGCGCCATCCCAGCTATCCTATGGATGGGACCCATGGGGCCCAGGGCAACAGCAGGAGTCACAACCTGGGAGTGATATCGGGCTATGGGGAGCAGAAGGGATGTGGCTGTGGCTGTGGCTGGGTTGTTCTGCTTCCAGCCATTGCAGTGAGTGCAGGATGCTTGACCCCGGCTGTTGCCCCATGCCAGACCCCCCCTCAGGCAATCCCCCGGGTCATGTAGCTCAGGGGAGGGCCTTTGGAGAAGGAGTGCAATAGGAGTGAGAGAGGGTGGAGCAGGGGCAGGAAGAGGTGGGCAGGGGTGGAGCAGGGGCAGGGTTTGGGAGAATGGATGGAGGGGCAGAGCAGAGGTTGCACCCACTTAGGGACAGCCCTAATTAAAGCATTCCTACAGATCCATCTTATCAGACATTGCTTTGCATGCAATGGAAGCTTTTTCATGGCCTAGAATTCCTGCGTAATTTGGTGCTGCCTGCCTTTCCATATTGCCTTTCCACAAGGAAGTGCATGTGGTCTGTAACCCTGACACTCGCAACTCGTACACCAAGCATTCAAACGCCTTCTGAAGACACAAAGGCCCTGTCTTAACTAGGGAAAAACAATATTTTTTACTACTTGCTAGGTAACACTGTGACGTAGTGGGGGTACTTGCTGGGCTGTGGTGACCTCTGCTGTCTGGAGCAAGACCCAGCAGGGAAAACCTCACTATGCAAAGGTGACTCCATACCGGTTGAACCAGCCAAGTCCCCATGGGGAGAAACAAAGGGAGGTGCAATGCTGCCCTGGCTGGGGGCAGGGCTTGGAGAGGGGGAGTTAGTTCCTGTCGGGAAAGCAGGGAAGAAGGAACTGGGGAGGGGGCTGGGATTCCCCCATCTCAAGGGGGCACTGAGGCCTCTTAGCCCCCAGTTCCTGTAACCAGATTACATCTGTGCTATGCTGTATCGTGGAGAAGCAATAAACCACCCTCAATTCCACTGGCAGGTGGAGTCTGTTTGGGCCATTTCGGGGTGCAGGAGACGGGGGACCCCCAACGCTACGTCACAAACACATTGTAATTGACACATGAACCAATTCAAGCTTGGTAGGGTTTGTGGTTTGCTTGTTTTTACTACCCATCCATCCATCCAGCTAGGAAGTTTTAATGCATTTACAAATGAGCTGTTGTCTAGAAAAACCCTGTGCTGTAATAAGATTGTGATCTCTATTTAACAGGATGTTGCCATATTACAAAGTGAGCATCTTTACACTTCCCACAACATGCTGTTTCTGGTAATATTATTAAATTAAGTGAAATCCCTGATTACACTCCTGTAACAACCCTGGCATGTCTACCAAATATTAATACTAAAAGGATTGGCAAGATGTGGTTTTTTTGGGGGGGACAGATGAATGTACCCGCAGTTGTAGTTTGAACGCGTTGTTACCCGCACACATTTCTCTATCCCTTCCACACTGTAGGGAATGTCTCTATCCCTTCCACACTATAGGGAAACACACCTTTACCCAGTTCCTAGGGCTCAAGGTGCAACCCTGTTAATTTACACACCCACCCTTACCCAATTCCTAGGGCTCAGGGCACATCTTCCTGCAGGTTGGCAGGATCTTTAGCCGCTGAAAGATCCTCTCACAATAATATTCTTATCCTCTATTGATTGACAATTCCCAAACAAGCAGAATACACATGCTAAGCACACGGTGTCATATTCACCAATCCTGGTACAGGCAGACTTCCCCTGTTGGCCAGGCAAGGTCAGTCTCTCTGGATCTTAGCTGCAGCATGTCACGGTCTGGTCTTAGGCTGTGTCTCAGAGATGAGTTCTTCTAGGTCTTCCCCCTTTTCCTTGGTGTTCCTTGTCTCCCTTTGGTCTTCTTCCAGCCTTTTGCTTCTTTCCTTCTGCTTCTGTTACTTCCGATCTTCTTCCTGGTCTCCTTCTTGGACCCCAGTTTATATAATGAAACCTGAGCCAGACCGTAACCAATTATTTTAGTATAACTTTACTAACCAAACATAACAAAATTACCTAACAATCATACCCCACCACCTTAATTGATTTACACCTAGCAAAATTAATTATACGGCAGACAGAAACAGTTACAAACCAGACAGAGATGGTACAGACAAACAATAGAAAAGTAAGGATATCTAACCATAGAGTGCGGATTCCACAACATTATTGATAAGCAGTTTCTTGCCAGACAGAATGGTGTTACTTAAGCTTTCTTTACCCACCTTGAGATCTGTTTCTTTATCTGGTGACAGTGGGAGAGCTATCAGGACAAAATCCCCTTCTCACGGTCTGATGTGACACTATTTTAATACAAAATAGATGGAATGTGAGTATGTGACTAGACCAGGGTCGAGACCCAAATATGGGTTGCTATTACGTTTCAAAAGGGTCGCCAATTGTCTCTCCAGGTGGCTCTGCCCCCTGCTCCTCCCACCGTTTTTGAATTGCCTTGGGTCACCAAGTCTTCCTGAATTGTCAAAATGGGTCCGCATCTGGAAAAGTTTGGGAACCGCTGCTCTAGACTTTACAGCCAATGACTGCTGCTCTTCAGTCTGGCTGCAGAAGAAGGCTTTGGTTATGTATGTATAGTCCCCATCATATTATATGGTTCATTATCCCATGTAGAAATACTTAGACCACTTACAATGAAAGCTAAGAATAAGGGAGCTCTGTAGTTTAAGCTGACAATGAGCTGGCTTTATAGTTCAAGGTGCAGCAGCTCCTACACCAAGTCCAGAGGTCACAGGTTCAGATCTGCCAGGTGGTGGTTACACATTACTTTACATTTATCAACAATAAATTTAATTTGCCATTTTGTTGCCCAATCACCTAGTTTTGTGAGATCTTTTTGAAACTCTTCACAGTCTGTTTTGGTCTTAACTATCTTGACCAGTTTAGTATCATTGGCAAATTTGGCCACCTCACTGTTTACCCTTTCTCTAGATCATTTATAAATAAGTTGAATAGGATGGGTCCCAGGACAGACCCTTGGGGAACATTAGGATCCTAGCATGGATAGGGCCAGCTGTAGTTTTCACACGTTAGGTGCTCAAGGTAAACATGGAGGCCTGTAATCCTGCAGCACCGAAGTATCCTTGGTGACAGCTGAGCCCTGGCTTCCACTACCAATGTATGTGGAAATAACTGCAAAAAGAATCCACCTCCGAGTGACACAGCAACAGCGACCTAAGCTCCAGAGCGGACAGCACCAGGTGGATGGAAGGAGGTGAGGGCTTCCCGCGTGGACCCAGCAACGTGGAAACAATTTTTTGAGTGGGGGGGGGGCCCGTTGCCTCTGTGCCCCTCACCACACCTTAGAACTCATTCTGGCAGCTGGGGCCCGGCATACAAGGCCGGTGGCCAGGACCCCAGGCCCAGTGGCTGGGCGTCACCCTTCATGTGGAGCCTGGTGGTGAGGTCAGTGGCCAAACAAGACCCAGAGCCAGTCGCCAAGACCTGTTGCATGGGGACAGCGGCTGAACAGGACCGGGGCCCAGAACGGAGCCCCCGGGCTGGAAGCTGGGCCTTGAGCCCCTGTGCATGGGGACAGCAGCCGAGCGGATGCGGGTCGGGGAACAGCAGGCCCAGGAACCGAGGCAGCAGAGGTATGTGCCCAAGTCCTGGGGGTGCTGCAGCTCCCCCGCCCCCTCTTCCTGCGCCCATGCTTGGGCCCAGCCACAGCCAGTGGGGGAGCATCTTGCCCAGCCCTGCCAGGAGTCAGCAGGCTGGGGTGAGCTCTGCCAGGCCCCCTGCTCTCCTGGGAGAGCCCAGTCACAGACCTGTTCCCCTCCCGCCCGCTAGGCGGCGCGAGTAAGAAGGGGGCGTGGGGCAGTGGGTCCTATGTTGCAGGCGGCTTAGGGATTAAGTAAGAAGGGGGCGTGGGGCAGTGGGTCCTATGTTGCAGGCGGCTTAGGGGTTAAGTAAGAAGGGGGCGTGGGGCAGTGGGTCCTATGTTGCAGGCGGCTTAGGGATTAAGTAAGAAGGGGGCGTGGGGCAGTGGGTCCTATGTTGCAGGCGGCTTAGGGATTAAGTAAGAAGGGGGCGTGGGGCAGTGGGTCCTATGTTGCAGGCGGCTTAGGGATTAAGTAAGAAGGGGGCGTGGGGCAGTGGGTCCTATGTTGCAGGCGGCTTAGGGATTAAGTAAGAAGGGGGCGTGGGGCAGTGGGTCCTATGTTGCAGGCGGCTTAGGGGTTAAGTAAGAAGGGGGCGTGGGGCAGTGGGTCCTATGTTGCAGGCGGCTTAGGGATTAAGTAAGAAGGGGGCGTGGGGCAGTGGGTCCTATGTTGCAGGCGGCTTAGGGATTAAGTAAGAAGGGGGCGTGGGGCAGTGGGTCCTATGTTGCAGGCGGCTTAGGGATTAAGTAAGAAGGGGGCGTGGGGCAGTGGGTCCTATGTTGCAGGCGGCTTAGGGATTAAGTAAGAAGGGGGCGTGGGGCAGTGGGTCCTATGTTGCAGGCGGCTTAGGGGTTAAGTAAGAAGGGGGCGTGGGGCAGTGGGTCCTATGTTGCAGGCGGCTTAGGGATTAAGTAAGAAGGGGGCGTGGGGCAGTGGGTCCTATGTTGCAGGCGGCTTAGGGATTAAGTAAGAAGGGGGCGTGGGGCAGTGGGTCCTATGTTGCAGGCGGCTTAGGGATTAAGTAAGAAGGGGGCGTGGGGCAGTGGGTCCTATGTTGCAGGCGGCTTAGGGATTAAGTAAGAAGGGGGCGTGGGGCAGTGGGTCCTATGTTGCAGGCGGCTTAGGGGTTAAGTAAGAAGGGGGCGTGGGGCAGTGGGTCCTATGTTGCAGGCGGCTTAGGGATTAAGTAAGAAGGGGGCGTGGGGCAGTGGGTCCTATGTTGCAGGCGGCTTAGGGATTAAGTAAGAAGGGGGCGTGGGGCAGTGGGTCCTATGTTGCAGGCGGCTTAGGGATTAAGTAAGAAGGGGGCGTGGGGCAGTGGGTCCTATGTTGCAGGCGGCTTAGGGATTAAGTAAGAAGGGGGCGTGGGGCAGTGGGTCCTATGTTGCAGGCGGCTTAGGGGTTAAGTAAGAAGGGGGCGTGGGGCAGTGGGTCCTATGTTGCAGGCGGCTTAGGGGTTAAGTAAGAAGGGGGCGTGGGGCAGTGGGTCCTATGTTGCAGGCGGCTTAGGGGTTAAGTAAGAAGGGGGCGTGGGGCAGTGGGTCCTATGTTGCAGGCGGCTTAGGGGTTAAGTAAGAAGGGGGCGTGGGGCAGTGGGTCCTATGTTGCAGGCGGCTTAGGGGTTAAGTAAGAAGGGGGCGTGGGGCAGTGGGTCCTATGTTGCAGGCGGCTTAGGGGTTAAGTAAGAAGGGGGCGTGGGGCAGTGGGTCCTATGTTGCAGGCGGCTTAGGGGTTAAGTAAGAAGGGGGCGTGGGGCAGTGGGTCCTATGTTGCAGGCGGCTTAGGGGTTAAGTAAGAAGGGGGCGTGGGGCAGTGGGTCCTATGTTGCAGGCGGCTTAGGGGTTAAGTAAGAAGGGGGCGTGGGGCAGTGGGTCCTATGTTGCAGGCGGCTTAGGGGTTAAGTAAGAAGGGGGCGTGGGGCAGTGGGTCCTATGTTGCAGGCGGCTTAGGGGTTAAGTAAGAAGGGGGCGTGGGGCAGTGGGTCCTATGTTGCAGGCGGCTTAGGGGTTAAGTAAGAAGGGGGCGTGGGGCAGTGGGTCCTATGTTGCAGGCGGCTTAGGGGTTAAGTAAGAAGGGGGCGTGGGGCAGTGGGTCCTATGTTGCAGGCGGCTTAGGGGTTAAGTAAGAAGGTGCCGTGGGGCAGTGGGTTGCACAGTGTGGCCCAGTAGGGGGTAAGTAAGGAGGGAGAGGTGGGCGTGCAGAGGGGAGCTGTTCTAGAGCATAGTGCCCTAGGATGGGCATGAGGCAGCCCAGGTATAAATCCGCGCCTGCGTGTGAACTGTGACACTGCCCAGGCACGTCTGGCACAAAAAGACGGTTCCAGGGGCACGGTGCGATCCCTGCACGGGGCATGTTAGTGGTGACACGACTCAGGCGCTGGCTGGGCTGCAGCATTGCATGCAGTGCCATGGCGAGGGCATGAGCCAGCGGGATGTGGTTAGTGCACGTTGCCACGACTCGGGCTCGTATCACCTGCACAGTCATGGTACAGGAACCCTCGTGTGACATGCTGCTGGGGCCTGTGCACATCTGGTGCATGTGTCACTATGACACCACGGCACAGCTGTACTGCCATGCACTGGCTATGCACAGTGAAAATACTGTCCATGCATGAGATACAGGTGTCTTGCAGGCAGCATGCTGCACTCGCGTTCCTGGCTGCTGCACATCTGTTGTTCGTCTGGCTTCTCTCCTCTACTTCACCTTCCTCCCACGTCTCTCCAATCCCAGCTCTCCCACTTCTTTTCCTGTCCCTCCCCCTTGCTCTGTTTCTTCCCCCACACTCACTCTTCAGGACCCTCCCTTCCCATTGTGTCTGGGGTGTTCATGGCTTAATTGCAGCCCCTTTGTGACTCTTGTGTTGCCTAATTCTTTGCACCTTTTTTGCTGTTGGATGCCCTCTTGTGGGCCTGGTGTCTTAGCCACATGTAGCATCAAGAATGTTTGTGCTGTAACTAGCAAAACGAATTCCCCAGCTGCGCTCCTCTCTTGGCATTGCATTACCCATCTGCGGTGGGCCACGTACAGGGCCACTGAGTGCACCTTCAAGAGTGTGTCAGTGGACGACACACTCATGTAACCTGGTTCTGTTTGGGATGTTGACAGCTTCCCATACTGCAGGGGGTGGGTTGTCGAGTCAGATTGCCTGGGAAAAGATGTATGTAGTAGTTGGACATTTGGGATGCCCCAATCTTAATTAGGAGGCGTGTTCTCCATTGTGAGTAGGAGGTGGTGTCTCTGGGAACCCCGTTGCAAGAGGCATAGATCATGGATTTATCGCTGGGGTGGCATCTGTGACAGTTAATGAAAAACTGAAGCAGATACACCCTGCGGTTGGGACGGGGGATGAGGGGAGATAGTATCCCGTGTGGCTGCAGTGCGAGCAAATTACAAGGTTCCTAGTTTGCATTAACCTAGCCCTGTTTGAAGAGGGCTATCTTAACATGAAGTAGGAACCTTTTAGTTTGTGCCCTCAGTGTCCATGCAGGGAGTTTACAGAGTAGCCCTTTGGTGTGCAAAGCACTGCTATTCACACCCCTGTGGCCTGAACAGCAGGGCACTATGGCCAAACTCACGGAAACGCATGTCTCACTGAACAGGCCAATGAATGTGCCCTCTCCTTGTTGTTCTAGGAGCCTCCAAAGTCTGCTAAAAGCACCACAAAGCCCAGCAGCGGTGGTGGTGGTGGTGGTAAGGATGGCGGGTCAGAGAATTCAGAGGAGGTAAGCATTCATCTTGCAAAGCATCACACCTGTGCAACTCCTCTCTCGTATGGCATCTCTTGTTCAAATGGTCTCCCACAGCTCTGCTGAATAAGGTCTCGGAAGCAGCCAATTATGGAATCCTATAACGTGGTACTTGCGGTCAAAGATAGAGGCTGACTACAGCGGGAAGGTAGTTGAAAAAGACAGAGGGTGAGAACAGAATCTTGTGGCCCTCCATAGAAATAGACTTGAAGGGGAGCTCAGATATTCCAGAGCCACCTGTAAGGATGGACTTGAATACAGTGAAGCCTGGCCTGAAAGCAAGGACAATGGAGAGGAGAGACACAAAACTAGCAGTAAGAAGGAAGTGTGACTGGAACAGAAGTTTCCTTGGTATGGCCCAAACTGTTGTTGCTGGCGTGGTCGCATTCGTGCCATTCGCTTGGGAGAGGGAGGCGCGCACAAGACGAGTCTAATTGACATCTGAGTTAAATTAAGCACAGGGAGAATAGTGATGGATTTGAGTGATACGGAGAAGGTACTAGAGGAAGTGAATTTCTCACTATTGTAACACCCTAACTGTCAGCCAGAGAAGGTCTAACATATGCTAACACACATTCTATATTAAAAGTGCTACTCGGAGCGTTCTTTGCCCTGGGCGCTCGTGCTGCCAAGATAGACACATCCAGAATAGTGTCAACAAAGGGTAACTTGCTATAACAAATAATGTTGCATATTAACACCCAGTTTTTCCAGAATTGGCAGGAACCCTGGCATGTATGAATGTTTTAGGAAGGTGGTTGTCTTGGACTCTGGAGATAGGTCCAACCTCTGGAAAGCATTTTACTCTCTAGCTGAGAAGGCCTGCTTATTTTTTTTCCAGTAACTTGGTTTTTCAGACAAGACTCTCCTCATTTCCATGTCAGTCTAGCACAGTCCGATGAGAAGTCTTGTGTGCTAGGTGCTGTTCTTGGTTAATTGGAATGTCGCACTATGACTCGAACGTGGGAATTAGAGGTTGTTGACTTGTTTAAATTTAGCGAGAGGAGGAAGGGTAAAAAGTCAGCAATTCAGTAGGACTGTGTGTAATCAAAACAGAATATTGATTTAGAAGCCCCTCCCCCCCGACAGATTAACATATTCAATGTGTAAAGAGGTCAAGCCACATCTCTAGTGACAGTCGTGGCCCCTTCTGAAGATAGTGTTAAAGCTTATGCCTAAACCGAGGTGTATTCAAAACAGACTCTGAAGTGAGAGCTTTTTGCCTTGGGGACTCCTGTTTAGTGATCTGCGTGCTCCTGTCCATTTTAGTCTCAGCTGGTTGCTCCCCACTTCTTTCCCTGGCTGGGTTTTCCCCTTTTTGCGTGGGTACCGTTTTAAAAACAATTTCCCTCCATCGTTCCCCCGGCTAGAAGGAGGCAAGCCGTGGGAGGTCAGCATTGTCTCTTGCACAGCAGCCTTGCTCCTTGGATCCCTCAGCACTGCACAGAAGAACGCAAGTCTCCTGTGTTCTAACACAAAGGTGGCCAACAACAATCCGAAGTTACCGAATGAATGCTGGACGGTTCCCCCGCAGGGCTGCGTTCTTAGGACCAAGCGATGCAGTAGGAGGGTATAAATAGCATTGCTCACAAGCTTCCTTTGGAGACCCAAAAGGCAAATGAATGATGGTTCCTATGACTGTAGAAGAGCCCTAGAATAATTTAAAAACAGCCCCCCACAAATACCCAGCTCTCCCTGGTAATAAGGCAAGGAGGAGGGAGAAGCAAGTTGGTTCCTCCCTTGCGTTTCTTCTTCCTCTGTCTCATCAGGGTTACCTGTAAGGCTCCGTTGAACCGTTCTTCCCCTTGTGCACTCTCACCCTTGGAGGCAGGCTGCCTGGGTAAGGCACGGCTGAGTACTTGGCTCTTGACAGATCGTCATTCTTTTCTTAATTTGGATCAAATTACTTCATTCTTCCAGTGAAGAAAGTGACTAATCGTAACGCTCAGAAACATTTAGACCGAGCTGTCAGCAGACATGCTGGCAAGTCAGCCGTCCCTCACGCGTTGTTACTGCCTGAATATTTGGAGGATGGGTTAGGCAGTGAACAGAAGGAGAGGTGTGCATTGCGGGAGATCCCTCTTGTGGAAGGGAAAAGGGGGTTTGCGTTAGTGAAGTGTCCATGCATGTGTGGATGGGAAGATGTGGGTGGATTCGTGTGTTGCCCTACTAACAGGGCTTTTCATAGTTTGTCTGTGATTGCTTTGAGATAGGTAAGGCTGGTTAGGTGCTTTCTTTAAGAGAAGTTTAGTTTCCTCTTGTGGGTTGGTGGTTTTTTTTGGGGGGGGGGGTGTTTCCTGTTTTGAAGGGATCCGTAGACATTTAAATGAGGACAGCATAGAGCAAGAGGGCAGCCCTGCTGCTCCTGGCCTCCCTGTGACCTCCCACCGCATTGCAGGAAGAAGCAGGTGACTTGCAGCCAAACTTGCCTCCCGAACAGAATTTCAGGTTCTGCATGTGGAACAAAGATTTTCCCATCAGGCTAAGGCTCTCCATAGAAAAGCCCAGCTCTGGCAGACGTTGACAGAGATGCTGCAGACCAGGACTTCCCCCTGTGAATTTTAGTAGATCTACCCACCAGCCCTTCAAAACATTCACCAATGTCAGTGATGGGAGTGGGGGGGGGGAGAATGCATTCCTTTCTACCTGGCCAGGAGGTCACTGAATGAAGAGGAAAGCATCAAAGGTCAAGCAGCAGCAGTACTTAGTGGCACAGGCAAAAGGATTTTTAAGGTGCCTACGTTGCCCATAAAGAGAAGTGATGAGCGGCAGGAGTCGCAGGAGTAAATCTGGGGAGATAGCAGAGAAGAGGGCCTCAGGAGAAGCGGTTTCCTTAAGGGACTGGCTGATAATGGGAGAAGGTAGAAGGCGTCAGCGTAGATCTATGAGCAGGAGATGCCGCTGCTAATGATTAATATGAGATGGGAGGAGGAGGTGGAGAGTTACTCATCTCTAGCCAGAGTCTGGGAGGGGCAGGTGAAGCGGGTGGGTGGAAGAGTTAATGGCCTGGAAGAGGGAGGGAGGTTTGCCAGCACCTTAGGAGGGAGGAGACATTAACTCTGCAGCTCAGGAGAGGGCAGGGGGGAGATCCCCAGCTCTTGGGAGCCAGGGGCTTGCCTGTTGCTGTGGGAGTTGCTGTCTCATGCACTGCATAGGCATTTTTACGGGACTCGGTACTGCAGGCCCCGGAAAGTGCAGCTGATTGGCAAAGGGTGCGCCAGGGCTGGGGAGGTGCGTGTCAGTAGGGGCAGGAGATGTCAGCTCCTAGGGCTGGAGGAGAGGCCGTGAAGGAGGGGCCAACGGCAAATCTGGGCTGGAAAGTGTGAGCGTTGGCACTTGCAGCAGCAGTAAGGCAGGGTTGCACGCCACGGGCAGTGCGGAGAGCCCTCAGCCACCGGCTGGGGTGGGTGGGGTAGGTGGGAAGCAGAGAGGAGGAGCTGCCCCTCACCTCAAAGGTCTGGGTGGGAGAGTGACACTTGGGCTGTGGGAGTCCAGGGCGAAGAGTAGGTGGAGGGCTTGGGACACAGAGAAGTCCCTGAAAAGAAGGGAGGGTCTGAGCGTGGAGACCATGAGCGTAGCTTTGGTTGTGGCTGGGGCAGCCTC